CCATAAATCGGGTCGTCGGGGCCCCTGCCTTCGACTGCTGCCCAATCCACTGTGCACCGGCTCCTTACGGATCCTCCTGCTGGTGGTGGGCCCACGGGAGGACATCCCCACGTCGCTCATTCGGGCTAAGCCCGGCTGGGCCCAGTGAGGGGGAGGCCTGGCCACCAGGCACTTGCATTTGAGCCCCGACCCCGGGCCTGGCTCCAGGGTAGAGCCCGGGCGACATCACGGTCCTTGGTTTTATTCTATTCATAAAGGGCTATTTCTAACTTTTTAATTTTTTTTATCATATGAATGGTGGTAAAGAAAGTATACATTTGTATATTTTTTTCTTACACTTCATTTATGTCAGTTTTGGGGCTATATATTTCTAACTTTTATTTCATCACAACCAATACAACATTATCAGTGACTCATCTCTCACCAGTACTCCTGCTCCAGAGTCATGTGCTTCTCATAGACGGGTCCCGGCAATTCTGATTGGCTGGGGAAGATGAGGTCATGTTGGAGGATCATGGTTTTGATGAGGTCATTAACCTGTGGCTGCCTAGCAACAGCATCATCAGAATCTATTCCCCTCAGCAGGCTTGGGCCAAAGCAGACAGCCAGGTTGTAGGGCTGCATCATGTTCTCATCACTGTACTGGGACACACTGAGATAACACACACACAGTTTTTGTTATATGTTTGTAAATTTTTATGGCCACTGTAGATATTACAAATATAAGAGTTTTCCACATTGGCTGTAGCTTACTGATTGAGGAAAGCGAAAAGATAACGCATCACGATGAGGAGAGGCCGTGGGAAGGTGGAGACAATTGCTTTAATCTGGGCAGCTTTCTCTGTCTCCCCTTCAATTTCTGATCATGATAGGTAGGAAAGAAAAACCACAGGATCACAAGATGAGCAAAAGCAAAACTTTAACCACCACAACAGACTTTCTTTGTTTCAATAACTATTTCATTTTCTGACTTAAAAAAAATGATGTGACAAGCACTTAAGATTCTGAGGGGAGGTGGGTGGGCTGGATTATTAGGCTGCTGACAGGAAATCTATGTGCTGCAGGCAGGTTCACAGCCTTTGTTAGCTGTGCAAACTGTGACTCAGAATTTCTGTAGTGGAAAACAAACATGGGAATTCCCTACATGAACAATGAAAAAAGATAACAAGAGAAAGTAAACAAGATTGTAAGATGGATCAGGCAAGACACAGAAGTTGCACCACCTTGCATCGACAGTACATGTATTAGTAGGAAAGAACTTAATAAACAAGCATCAGAGAAGTGGTAGCACAGTCACAGTGCAATGCTTCTACTCTAGCTTCACAAAGCTAAATCAGAGTTATTATGTTTTTACTGTATATATGCTTAAAAGAATATTTGTATCTGGCTCTAGGCTACACGAGGGATGTGTTTGAGCTTCCCTGAGGCTGACTAAGCATCTAGACACCAAATGACACTGTATATAAAAAACTAAAGTTACTGAAAGCAGACATGAAAGACCAAGTGAAATCAGTGCGTGATCAGAAAACAGGAACACACAGATCTACAAGTTTCATAACGGGGTCTTACGGACACACTCCAGCAGCTGAGTGTAGCTATTGTAAGGGAAGAGAGGAGGCTCAAGGCCCCTGAAGTACAGCTTCAACACACCAGCCACCGAGTCCAGGTCACACTCACTGTCTGACAGAGGATCTTCTCCTACAGGGTGGTCAAGCAGACACATAAATCAGCCTGCGTACACTTTTTCATGCAAAACAAAGGCATGGTCAAATGCAGCAAGGTAAAGGACAGAATATTGATGTACAATTGTGTTTGTCAAACTTCATATTATTGTTTATAATTTAGTTGATTACAGGAACAAGAAAGGTTGTCTCAATTACTATTGTTATAATAGCAATAGACAGCTCAGCCATTATCATTGTTACTGGAAAGACACATTATTATTTATTTTCAATAAGTGGCTATAAACAATATTTTGCTTTTAGCTACAGCAAACAGATTGTTGCAGGATTAAACTTGTAAGTAACTTAATACTACACTATTTGTAATGTTATTTTTGGGTTTCATGTTAAATGTGGCTTACATCCAATATGTTTGTCTTCATTGGGTCAGTAAGTTCAAATCTCAGGCTACATAACTGAAAGAAGTAAATGAAAATAATTCTTACTCTTGAGTTGGATTTTAAAGTTATGCACCCAACATTTTCTCACAGACTTGGAAGTATAAATTGTACTAATTGTACTGAGGTCCTTGTCATTCTAATTCAGCTGTAGACATGCCTCTTTTCATCATTTCTGCACATACCTCTTGACCTTTCTGTAGCAGGCAGTATTGCAGCAATGAGGACATTATCCCTCACTGGCTTCCCACCCCCTATCTGTGTTCACTGAACCAAGCTAAAGGCATCATCACAGGGGTAGACAGATGTTTTGTACATGCAATATAAGTTTACCCATTATGTTTTTGGGATTCTGACACTTGAGTTTTCTTCACTGAGTTATTCTTGGGTGAACTTCCCCTTAAATTTCTGAAAATTTAACAAGTTTTGAAGGTTATCTTCTGGCATGAATCTTTTAAAGTAGTCAAAGTGGTTAAAAATAATATACTGTATAATATACGTATGCAGGTAAAGCAAGTGTTAAAACTGAAATGAAAAAATAAATCAATCAAATTAAAAAATAATATATAGTTTAATTTTGCTGTTCTCCATCAGCGGAGAGAGTGATACATTTTCATTAGCTTCACTCCATCTTTTTTTCTGCAGGAGAAACACCATCATAAGACAATGTTAGGGATGCACTAATATCAATACCAGTATCGTGTTTTGAGACATATACCACCCTCTAGTACTTGTAAAAGTTGTCCCATACTACGTACCAATACCACATACTGGCAACATTACTTTAACCTCACACTGGTTGAGCAGGTCGTTAGGTGGTGGAACAGAGATTTTAGCGATGTGGAGTTATTTTAGGACAAGTAACAAGAACAAAAAGTGACCGCGAGCTCTCTTCTCTGTTCTGTGTGTCTGAGGGAGAGGCACTCACAGATATGCTGTGTGTGTCCCTGATGACAACACTGTATGTAAGTGAGACAACAACACTTGATACAGCAATAAAGCCCACTAGTAATGGAGAGAGCGGTGTATCAAACAATTGTTGAAAAAGCAGAAAAAAACTCACAGAAATGCAACATCTTCACTGTCCCCACAGTCAACTCGCCTGCACCCTGTTCTCCCACTAAACTCATACACTGCTTGTTATGCTGATTGTAGTGAATTGTTGAGAGAAGAGAACAAATACTAACTTAATGCAGTTAACTGCTGAGACTAATGAGCTATGTGTATGATCTGTTAGTGTCTGTAGACTTAGAGGCTTGGACCTTAGTGGATTCCTGTTATTTATTTTATCTAATCATAATCAGAAGGTAAATCTCATGAAAATGAAAACTGTCTCTAAAGTCACAATATTTTCACTGCAAGCTATTAAGTATCAGTACTTGTATCGGCAAGATGTGAGTACTCATACTGAAAGAAAGTGGTAGGAGTGTATCCCTAGATGATATAATCATTTACCTCTCTCAAATGCATCTCTAATGAGGTTAACCTCCCTCTGCGACCCGGGAACTCTGAATATTCCTTCATGGTGGAGCCCTGAGACACACACAGACATTTATATTAGAATTAATGTTCACAGAGGTCTATACATATACGCTAACAAGTACCTCCACCTACTTATTCTCACTGTTCAGAGATTGACTCACCGTGAAGATTTATGAAACGGATACAGCTTTCAACCACCACAGGAATCTGCTGCCCAGAGCTCTGGAGAGAGGAGAGAGAGGCGAGTGTTAGAGACAGATGGAGAGTACTGATATAGATGCAAAGAAGGAAGAGGAAAATATCAGGGAGGAATAATGTGTTAAGGAAGATAATGTGTGAGGAATATCACAAATAAACAGAGGAAGAAGAATTCCACAGTTTGAACTCAGTGTCCTCAGAGATATCTACAGCCCTGGTCACTTTGAGAAGCAGTCTGTCAGCTTGTATGCAGTATATAAGCAGTCAGTCGTAAATGGGGTTTGATACCTGTGTCCGAGACATTCTCCTTCTCCTTCTGCACCAAGCCAAGCACAGCAAAGTAGAGACAGAGAAAAAGCAAAGATTAAAAAAGGGAGAGTGAAAAATAAGGGGAATAAAGATTTAGAGGCAGTGGGAAGAGGTACACATAAGCACACACGCACACACTCAGTAGAGGAGTCGAGAGAGGAGGTAGCAAAGAGGCAAGTGCACTTTAATCCCTTTCACAAGAAAGGGAGAAATACAGGGGATGGACTGAAAGGAGAGAAAACCAGCAATAAGCTCTAAGCATGACCATAAGCATGAAGGCAGCAGGAGTGTCAGTGTGTGCATGCACTGCAAGAATGCCCTCCTCTTCCCCATTCTTCTTCATCAGTCTGACAAGATTTTCTAAGCACAGTGCAGCAAGCAAATAAACAGGAGGTTGAAATAAGGGTTTATTTTATAATTTGCATTTGTGTGTGTGTGAGTGTTACCTGTATGTAGGAGAGTATGTCTGTGGTGAAGAGTGTGTGGCAGAATTGGGAAACAGGTCTGGACTTCCGAACACGCACTGACCAAGCACAATGCATTCTGGGAAATATAAATAAAATGCATGATGCCGTTTACATGTGGGTATTAATATTTAAGATCTACTGATGATTGATGATTTGGTTAATCTCTTTCCTCCTCTCCTTGACCTCTCTGCTCTCTCCATGTCTCTATGCCTCTCTCAGTCATACGCTCTTTATTCTTGGCTGTGTAAATGCACTGTTTACCTGGAAGGGTCGCTATTCACGGCCTCAGCTGTAAGACAGACAAAAAAGTGAAAGAGTAAGGTTGGGTTTATGTTGTGCCCATGCAAAAAATATTAAACCAACCAACCAATTTTTCTCTTTTTGTTCTGTTAACAGGTCTTCGGGAATACTACTGCATATGTGAAAAAAATTGAATAAAGCCTTTTGTGGCTCCTGAGGGAGCTGCACATGCACAAAGTGACTCCTCATCTCTTCTTGAGACTGGTGGCTTGATGCTATGTTAGTTAGTACTAGCATACCAAATCTCAGTCGGCAGTCGATTTGCACCGCAGGTAACGTAGGAATGAGTGAGAATAAAACACACAATGTCTTTTGGGTCCATGTTGCCCTCACTTGTATCTTTTCCTTGCATCTTATGTGGGTGGGACTAAGATGCAAGGAAAAGACACAAGTGAGGGCAACATGGACCCAATTAAGGGAAAAGTGCAAGGATAGAGGAATTGAGGAAATGTTATTAGAAACGCAATCCTTTCCTGCAATCCTTCATCTGAAGCATCCAATCACCAACTGATTTCCAATAAAGAGGCATCCATAACAGATTTCCATGAAGGATGGTCTTATGTATCTCATGGTTCCTCCAACAGCTTTCTCACTCCTCAGAGCAGATATAAGAGACTTGGGACATTCCCGATTCTTGCTCGACCAGAACGACTTCTGGGTCAAACAAGGATCAAAGACTGAGGAAGGATCATATAAGACACGTAAAAAGCAGCTAATATGTTTGCTTAAGGTGCATCGATGTTGCTGTGGCCACTACCGGCACAGAGGTATAAAATGGCTCTCCCTCTCATCTAACAGTCTGGTATAAGTGTACCTTTCTGTATGGCATCTTGTAGAAGGTCATGTTTGGCTTGAAGTTTGGAGCACAGACAACTGCTGGTGAGGAACTCCTTCACTTTCTAAGATAAAAGATATTAAGTTATTCAATAATACCTGGAAAAACTACTGAAGATCAGTCAAATTCGTCCCAGGAAACCCAGAACAATGACACTATCAAGTCACTGCTTAAAGCACAATTAATGATGTGAAGATGTAATTTTCTAAACTAAATCATGGACATCATATCAGAGATAAACAGTAATGATTGTCCAATAATCTATTTTGATTTAAGGCCAACAGTGACCTGATATGCTGTGTATCACTAACAAAATCATTGATCAGTCCTCTGCATAAACTCACTGTAAAATAGTAGATCTCTGTGTCCTGCTGATTGGCTCGACGCTTGGCAAGGGTAAGTTTTGGGGCAGTGCTTCCTCCAGGAGGCTCATGTGATAGGCTGCTTAGCACATCGGGGGAAGGATTGCAGTCGCTGTCACACATAGTGTCCAGCAGGGCGGTGAGTGTGGCTTTAAGCGTTTTACTAATCTGAGAAAGGGAAAAAATATTAGTTAATTCAGTTTTATTTCCTGGATATTTTATCAAAGCAAAAAATTGAATGAAAGGTGCATTAACTAAGATTTTACATATAGTCTGATAAATCGAGTGAAAATGAGACAGGGCATGATGTTTCTCAGCTATACTCCCTCCCTTCATGATACGCTGCTGCCTACAGCCCTTCTATCGTTATACCAGCTTCTCTACCCTCTGTTGTGCGGTCCATGTAAATACAGTCCACCTGCCACATAGCCATGGTTAAAAGAAACATTTTTTGAACTGCAAAAAGTCATATCAAACAGCAAATGGCAACTAAAGGTGAAAAATGTTGGCTACCAGAGTGAAGAGGTCATGTTCCTTTACACAGAGAGAGTGGGATAAAGAAAAAGCAAAAGCCAGCGTTAAAGCTAAAGTATGTAATTTAAGGTAACACTAGCATGAAACTCCAAATCAGCCCACTCTGCTCCGCCCAGCCCTCCCTCTCCCTGCTCCACTCTGCTATGACCTGCTACACTCCGCCATGCTCTGACCAGCTTCAGATATTTGTCATTATGAAATTACAAGAAATGAAAATACAAAAAGCACAAGAAATGGGAAGTCTCTGATTGGTTAGAGAACAAAACCTTTAGAAGCTAATATCTCTCCACTGTTACCAGTGTTGTTCAATGAGTTTGGGTCATAGGAGGAGTCGACAGAACATCTGCACATTAAGACAAGTTTTGGAGCAGACTTCTACAGGAAAGATATCTGAAAAAAAGTTACATACTGTAGCTTTAACATCAGTTCAGCTTTATGAGATTTTGAGAGTGTTAATAGCAGCACGAGGACTCAGATCTGAATCAGATGTGGCGTTCTTCCTTCTGGATGCGTTAGAATATAAACCTAATGTGTTTGTTTTGGTCACATTAGCGACCTGCTATAGCATGGTTATGCTTTACCTTGGAACTGAATTAATGTGATTTTAATCTGGGAGCAATTTGAGCTTTGTGTCACATTGGCAGTAACTAGAGTGTTCTACTGCACTGACAAATTTACTCATTAGTCAGCTAATGTTAGCTTCAGACTGGAGGCTGAATTTTATACAGTTTGTCACAACCAGGCATCTGAGGTTCACATTGTTGCTGGGAAACATGATGTGATGGTAGAGGCAGAGCAGTTAGAAGCTCTTTCTAGTGTGAGTTTGTTTTAAGTTTCAACCATCTAGGTGGAACAGAAATTAGGTAGAGTAGTTTTAGTTTAAATCATCACTCAGTCAGTGACTGACAGAATGGGACAGCCAGATGATTATGATCATTATTAAACAGGTTATAATGAACTGACCTCCTCAGTTTCCAAGGTAACGGCAGCAAGTCGAGATTGAAGCTGCTGGAACCTGGTCTCCAGCTCGTACCTCACGTGGCTCTCTGCACTCACCTCACACACCTGACATGGATAAACAAAATATAACATGATGTGTGATGATCAAGTTTATGGGACATTATTGGGAGGGGCAGAGGGTGGGATTCTTCAAACATCTGTAATGCTTTAGTGGATGGAAGTCACAGTGAAAAGACTTTTTCTTTTTTGAAAAACAAGCACATTAAAGAACTATTTATACACATATACATATAAAATAAATATAAAATAAGCACCAGGGTGTCATAGGGGCTGACATACTATCAAAAAACATGGCAGGCACTAAATTTAGTTTAACAGGGCAGAGTTAATTCAGTTCAATTCAATTCAGTTTTTATTGTATAGCGCCTATTCACAAAAACATCATCTCATGGCACTTTACATAGTAAGGTCTAACACTTCACTTCACTTCAGATACACTCTGATGGTGTCCCACTGATCCTAAGTAAAGCCAGCCACAGGCCACAGATTCCGCATTTAAGCTGTAGTCCACGTAGAAGCATCAGAGTTGCATTTGAATATGGACTGTGCACACTCTAAAATACAAATGCAACTGATACCCATCCTTCTTAGTTACTGTTGCTGACAAACTTTCCAATCTACTGCAGCAAAGGGGGAAGATTTAGCTCTCCAAACTCATAACAATTAATGAAAGGGTCTTCGATTTCACACAAATGTAGGATAAGCAGGACACTCAGTTTTGTCAGATGACACAATGACAAAAGCTAATTGTATTAGCTGTAGCTAGTTAGCTAATTAAAGCTAACTCAGCCGACTCCATTTCAAATGAGAATGCTGTAAAATGGGGTCTTAAATATGCACTTGATGCCAAAACATGATATAATGCTAAAAGACTAAGGCTAAAGATATATTGTATGTCCCAGGCAAAAAGTCCTCACACTTGGCATTGAAAATCCTGGACAATCATATTTGTGTTTAACTATTCATGTTTTTTAATTACATGTGCAAACTTCCAAAACCAAACAAAAAGCAGAACAGTCGCCAATCAGACACTAACTGGCATATCGTTGCATCTTGGCTATCACACAGTGGAAGTGAATGGGCAGTAACCAGTAATCTCACATAATAAAACTGCTAGGTAATGATGTGTCCCTTGAGTTTGGGAGTAATACTGACTTATTACTGTACTGTACATGCTGGTTAGCAGGATGTGGAAAGGTGATAAAAACAGTCACCATGTAAACTCTTTAGATACTGAGTATCACTTTTACTACAGCCCTGAACACATCTCTCCATCATGTGAAGACAAGATGGACAGAAAAAGAATACATAAATTATAATAAGCTAGACAATAGGAAACAACACACGTGACATACAGTATGCGCCAGCTTATGGCATTATCAGTTATGTGGTAGTAGCATAACAAACCAAAACTAGAAAAATGCATTTCCTGTTGAAAATGCGTGTGGATGCTGAGTGCTGAAGGATCGTCCTGAAAATGCCTGAAATCAATTGCTGAAACAGCTGAGGGATGACAAGAAATGGCTGAAGTTCTTTGTTGAAATAGTTGAAAGTTGAGAAGAAATGGCTGAAGTTCTTTCTTGAATAAGATAGATGAGATGCAATGAATGTCCTTCAGGAGCTGAACATTTTCATACCTGAAGTAGCTGAAAGTATGCTGAAGTAGAATATTCCCATTCATTTGAAAGGGGCAAGATTTTCAAAATAAAGCTATATATTTCTAAAGAATGAGGTTTAGAAAAAATCTGAATAGAAGCATGGATGTCCTTGAGGAGGTGAACATTTTGATAGCTGAAAGTATGCTGAAGTAGAATTTCCCCCTTCATTTGAATGGGGCAAGGTTTTCAAAATAAATCTAAATATTTCAGAAGTATGAAGTTTAGAAAAGTTCTGAATAGATCCGCACATGTCCTGAAAAATCTGAACATTTTGATACCTGAATGGTTTTTCTAGTTGCAAATATGCTGAAGTAGTTAAGGGCCAAAAATGTACGGAAGAATAATAATAAAGACCAGGAAAACATACTGTGGATGCTGAATCAGCATCCATACAATGACAGCAATGTTATGTCTTTTCCTAAACAATGGGTGTTATCATGAATGTAATAACAAGTATCATTTGGGGTTCACTAAACACTTTTAGAGGACATAATGCGATTTCACCTGGTCACCCTCATGTGGATGGTAGTTGAATCTGAATGGAAGGCAGAAGGCGGCGTCATGTTGCTGCAGCAATCCATCTCTGTCTCCACCCTGGTCCAGGGAGGTCACAGCTGCCTCCAGCTGCTTTATACCCATCTCCTCTGTTTTCTGGATGCGCCACCTACTGGCCAGGTAGCACCTCATCACCCTCTCCACTGACAGATGGAAACCCAGGTCACAGCACTGCCAAGAGTAGAGAATGGAGAGAAAATAGGACAAGAAGAAAGGAAAGAGAACATGGGGACAGAGAGAAAGACAGGGATATGGGTAAAGGTAATGATGGAACAGGAGAGGATACAAAAGTGAAGAAAGAATAAAAAAAGTAATGTGATGGTTGTAATGAGGAATAAAGGAAAAAATAAGAGAGGAGGGTTTCTATATTTGGGCAGTGAGTCCTTCAGAATACTATTCAATTCTTTCTCCTCATAACATCAGTTTGTTTTCAGAAAATAACAGGAAGGTGTGTCACAGAATGGTAGCTCACAACCACTGAACAGACAATCATGCAACACAAATTGTATGTTTCTTACGTCAATAAGAGTGCTGACGTCCTGCAGGTAGTACTTGTTCATGGCTGCATTGGCTGCTGCGAGATTCAGCAGGTAGTCATTACGAGCCTTGGTACACTGCAGCTGGGTTTCCTGCACTCTGCCATGCCTCTGCATGCATACATAAAAAAAAACCAAGTAGGGGAAGTTCACATAATGGGAGAACATAAAACTTTGTTGATAAAACGAGTAGGAGACGTTCACATAATGTGAGAGCACAAAACTACGTATTGATAAAAAGAAAAGGGGAAGTTCACATAATGTGAGAGCACAAAACTACATGTTGATAAAAGGAAAATACATTATAATATCATGTGCCCATGATCACACACTGTGCCCCAATACAAAAGCAAGAACAGGAAATGGTTTGCTCTGTCAAACACACCTCCCCCCCCCTTCCGCCCCAAGACTTCCTGTAACCTGTTCTTGCTTTCTCTGTCATATATTCACCTTCTCCATTAATCTCTCCATCTTCTTGACAGAACTCCGCCTCGGGCCTCCTGATTGGCCAGTGCCCAGCTCAGCTGACTTGCCTGTGTGTCTCTCCTCCAACCGCTCAGCTTCCTTCAGCTTCCCCTCAGCTATCAGACAGTCTGTGTGGTACTGATTATATGTCTTCAGAGCCTTCAGGGCACACAGGTAAAAAACAAAAAAAAAAACAAACTCCACATCAGCATTGTTATTATTACAACATTTTGCATAGCTACATATAGGGCAATAAAATACATTTCCCACCGTCTGCAGTTCACTGGTGACCTTTAGCAACTCATCCTGCATCTGGATCCCAACTTCTTTGCTCTGAAATTTATAAAAGTAAATTGTTAGCCAAAAACATTATACATGTTCACCTTTGTAAGAGTTCTTTTGAAGAAACCATTCAACATTTAAGAAAGTGCACTTATTGGCTTATCTGCCTGCTAACTTTAGCATAATATTTAGTGTAAAAACATGAGAGTGGTATTCATCTTCTCATAATACTAGTCAAGAAAGCAAACAGATATATTCTGAAAAATGCCAAACACATTTCCAATCAAAAATGTATTTATTTAAAATGTATGTAATGCATCTCTTTGCAACCATGTTTTTCAGCTACTCAAGATAGATTTTCTGGTGGAAAAATAATGCTTTATTTACATTCTGATTTAACCATTATCACTTGTATTGCTATTAGTAAAAGTGCATAGTAGTACTTGATGGTAGCAATAACAAATTCAATATATTGCCAAAAGAGATTTTAGTAAAGCTAAAAGGGTCTTGCTCTACCTGGCGTCAGGCCTAACAACGCCTCTTAGCTTCTCTGAAATGACTGTAGTGACTGGATTAAAATTCTACTCACTTATCAACTCTGAGAAGGCACAGAGAGTCTATCTGACCACCGATATTTAGAGCAAGATGAGTCTGTGTACTTAAAATGAATGAGATTGCAGATGATACTGCAGTAGACAGAAAACAGGACAAATAAATTAAGGGAGATTTATATGAAGGCTTTCATTGTGTTCAGCATATGTCAACTGTAAGGGCTTCATTGGTGAGACTGTTCATCTTTCAAATCTGGCAACTGTGAGTGTTGTGCTATATAACAAAATGAATCTGCCAACACCAAAAGAATCCATCTTTATGAATGTATGCATTGGGTCTTGGGCTTAGTTTTCCTACAGCAGATAGCACTGACTGAGTGGGGTGATTTAGTTGTCCATTAGCTTATCTTGATATTAGTGTCCTGATCTGCTAACTCTGCTTTACTGACAGTCTATGGAAAATTCCTGAAATTAAGTGAAATTGTCTACTTGTTTTGAAATGACATAAAAATTGAAACTGACAATAAAAAACCTGTTAAAGAAAACAACAGTTTTATTACAACCTCATTATAAGGATTTGGGCCATATTATCTATTGGTAATGACATTTTTTACTTACTGTTTTTTTTTTTAATATTATTTAGATATTTATTAGTTAGATATTTAAAACAGAGCATTTTTTTTTAAACTACATTCACCTTTATTTTCCCTCTGAGTCAGCCAATACATTATGTTTCTGCATTCTGTAGTTCTGCCCCATCCATATACTGTATGTTAGCATTGAACTTGGTCAGTATAATGCTACAATAGCTAAGAAGAATGACAGGATGATCTCATTGGATATGAATTACGACCTACAAAATTAGAAGACTACAATTACTGCTTTGTGGTTGTATGTCTCTGTCAACCAGTTAAATTCATGGGAATGGGACAGATGTGAGGTGACAGTGACCTTTGACCACCAAAACCTTATCAGTTGTTCCTTGAATGCTAGTGGACATTTGTGGAACATTTGAAGAAATTCCCTCAAGATGTTCCCGATATATCGAATGGAAGGGACGGGTAGACAGTCAACCTGAAAACAAAATGCCTCTGGCCATGGCTATCGCTGGCATTATAAGAATGCAAGAACAAAAAGAATGTATGATTATTGCTGCCACATTCCATATGTGTAGTAAGTGTGTATACATAAAGGACATTACACACACTTACTTATCGGTGTGTACTTTATGTGTGTGGTGTGTTTGTTTCTGCATGCATGTGTCTTTGCACAAACCGACCTCCACTCACCCGTTTGTGCAGACGGTGTGTATCCTCCGTACTGTGTGCCAGCCTCTGTGTGAGTGTGTTGCAGCAGGTGTCACCCAGTGCTGCATGTTCCCGGCTCTCCAGACGGGTCTGAGTCAGCAAAACAGACCAGACCTGACACACAGACTGACCCCACTGCTCCTTCCTGGATATAGAAAACAAACACCCTCACTGAGATATGTCATAATAAAACACAAATGTGCACTCAAACCTTACAGGTGCTTACTTCTTAGTCTTGTGGGTGAACCTCTCTGTGAGTTTGTCAAGGGCACGAGCATATTCGGTCTCAATGTCACCTCGACGCCGGAGAAACTCAGAGAGGTCAGAGAGCTGCTGTTGTTTCACATCCACCTGAGAATCTAAAATCTTTATCTGGTCTGTCAGCTGCGCCCGCAGGTCTGACGCACATAGAAATAAGGATGAGGAGAAAGACTCATTTCATTAAGTGCATGTTTAGAAGGCAGTGCATACGTACATACACTCACATGTAAAGTGACATGAAAACACACATACACTTACATGGATGTACATAGCTTTCACAAGAGGCAAACTCAGTATATTCCAATATTTGAAACAAGCTTTGATTTACCAGAATCCTCCATTTAGAATGAATGTTTTCCCTTTTGTGTGCATGGTGTATCAGTCATCAAAAAAAACAAACATTTACCCAATTTCAAACTGAGCCAATAAACAAAATTCATCTTACACAATTCAGTTGTTCAGGATGAAGCTATACTACCTAGATTAAGATTTTGTCTTTACTGTGTATTTCATGTCTATATGGCTCTTCTTGCATGTTAGCTAAATATGAAATAAGTAAATAAAAAAATGATACATGCACATCACACCTGTTCCTGCTTACATATGCAAGAATGGACACACAGGTATACAGTATGCAAAAGAGACATATTCACATGAAACTACTCGTGTTGTAATTTTTGACCTCAGGTGGACTTGACAGTGTCTGGGGATGCCCATTATCCAATGAGGAATAGTTCATTCACACAATGATTTAATTTATAAAAAAAAATGATCCGGCTTGAAATTAAATAACAGTCTCTTCTGTAATCACCGATTTCACCTGAATAATCTTCCTATCTACACAGCTGAATGATTTAATTCTCAATTATTACTAATAATTAAAGTGTTATCTTCAAATGATTTAACAAAATGTTGTTCGTGCTGTCATTTGGGTATGTGATTGCATCTGTTCTACAAAGTAATTTGACATCAACACTTAGATTATTATACATCTTACTGTATAACATTATAACCAACACACTAAAGCCAGTAGCAATGTGGCTTTGCTGCACTTTGGTTTGAAAATGCTAATACAAACATCATTCTCTCAAATAACACTGCCTTCTGTTTCCTCTTTCACTTGTTTCTCATCTTTTCTTATCTTGCCCACCCCACACAAATGCATACAACATGTACACTACCACCCCACCCTACTCCGCCTGCTCCCTCACTCCCCTCTTTACTCTTTTTCTCTGTCGCTGTGTGAGTACACAGCCTTGGGCTGACTGGATGTAAGGAGACAGCATTACTAATACTGGCTATAAATACACCCTTGTAGTACAGTACAAAAAGCCAGCCAGCAACGGCATGCACCCTCCAAAGCATGGCACATACAGTAACACATACATGTTCATGTTTTTTCTTTCATTAAAGGCTCCTTTAAAGGCTGGGAAGATTTTTGGACCTATTGACATGAAGAAACTCTTAGAGTGGACTGTGATCAAGTGGCAAGCAACAGTAATGCTATGTTTCTTAGAATACAGGCATTTTTATAGCATTTATAAGTCTGCACAAATACATTCAAAGACAGTATACTGTATGGCTGAATGACTCTGCAAAGCACAAGCGTGAATGCACGTGTGCTGTCTTATATGCATTCAGGCATGCAAGTAAGTGCACAGGCACAAACAGAGATGTGGTAAAGGGCACAGATGTACACAGAGATAAGCACATGGCACACTCACACACATGCATGCATATATACAGAGTGACTTACCTTTCACTTGCAATTCGTACTCAGCCAAACTCCCCTTCTCTTTCCTCAGCTTCCCGTGCGATGTCATCATCGTCGATGCTGTGACCCTTGTCTGTCACTGATACCTTACTTCTTGAACTTCTTCTTGTAACCTCAGTCTCCCCTCCTGAAACCTTTCAACATCAGCACGTACTCCGGCTCTGTAGTCTGTGACCTTTCACCCCTGTCCTCCTTGGTGTTCTACAAATGCGAGGAGCGCATTGACATTAGTTTTGATCGGCTGAGCTCGGCGGGGATGTCACTCGGGTCCATGGAATCCCCTGGGCATCGGGTATGAATGTTGTTCCATAGGTAAACTGGCCTGAACAGCAGACAGTGGAAAAACAGAGAAGATAATGGTTAGAGAAGCAGCGAATATGGATGAAAAGAGCACAACAGAAGTCAAGAGAGGCAGATTTACTGAGACCAGAATAAGAGAATGAAAGAGTCAGAGAAGAAATGAGGCCAGTGTGATAAGACAGAAAGGGACAGTGACTCCAGAGCAGGAGATGTAATAGGAAGGACAGCGAGGTGGGGACAGAGCACAGATTGGGCAGTAAGAGTAAGTAAGTAAGTGATGAAGATATGAGGGAGGAAGAATGAAGGATGGGGGATGGGAAGATGAGAGGTGATGAGAAACAGCAGTAATGAAGGACATTCAGTGCCTTGAGGACAGGATTTGGGGATGTCTATAAAGGTAATGGTCAAAAGCACAAGCATTTGTCTCCAGTGGCACTATACACTACTAAACAAAGCTTAACAAGATTTCTAAAGGAAAAAGATCAAAGATACAAATCTAGAGTCGCAGTAAGATGCAGTAAATGCTGTTTGTACCCACCACACACTGGCTTGTGATCCACTTTGTGTCTCCACAAGCAGTTTGTTGAAATTGCTAATTTCAACAAGTTCAGGAGCATCACTTTAAAGCAAGGTTGTTAGACAGGCAAGGCGGGTGTACTGAAAAGATGCACTGAGCTGCTATATAGGCTCTAGCTCTTTTGGAATCAAGGGACCAAGCATGGGCTGAAAAATCTCTGTTAATGTTGAGTTTGGCCATTCTTTTTTATAAGTTTTGGCAAGTCATCCAACTTTATGGAAAGGGAATCTGAAAATGCTGAATGCTAATAAAAGAGAAAGGCCAACTTTTGAAAACTTCCTTGAAGAATGAAAATCAAACGAGATTCAAATACCCTAGAACAGTAAAGGCAGAGGACCAGTCACCATTCATGTCAAAGGTTTCTCATCTTAGTCCCACGTGCACAGCTAAATGATTACATTGCATTAAACAGTAAACTGTTCTGAGAAGTTGAGTTCACGTGCAACATAGCTTGCTTTTACGTTGCACACAAGCAGGTTAGTACACACACACAAATGAGGACAACTTAATTTCCCACATCCTGTTTCAGTTTCTCAACAGGTTTCTACAGACAAAGTGTGCTGCTTCCACTGGAAACCCTGTTCCTCATTTAGCCTTAAGCCATAATTTGGTTTGATTAAAACCCAAAATCACCATTATGATTTAATGTGGCTTTTCTGCTGGTTTAATAGGGTATCCTGTAATCTACTGTACAGTACTGTGTGAATACTTAATACTGTTAATGCCGGTTTGAAAGCATGAGGGTATTATTTCAAAGTACTATATAGTGCATTCAAAAAATGGAAAATAAACACTGAAATTGTTTGACATACTTGAGACATACAGTAATATGTGTTCTTAGGCTTGTGTTTTCATTTTATCTTCCAAAGCTGGGCAGTGAATGTGATTCATGTGGTTTCAAACAGAACTAAAGAGTAAATGGAGAAGTACACAATTGAATGCAGAGAGATTTCTGCAAATCAGAATGTGAGTGGAAACTCCAGAGGCCTTCATCAGCGTGCGACCTTAATCTGCCCAGAAGAAAGCAAATATAAATGCTCACAGAAAGAGAGAGAGGAAGGGTTGTAGAAGAATCAGAAAAAGACAAGGAGAAAAATAAGCACAAAAAGGGAAGTGAGGGCAAAGAGACGGAGGTTATCGAAGAACAGTGTTTCATACTTAAAGTCAAGGTCACTGAGATGTGTCATGTGGTGTGAATACAAAGTAGACTGAAGACAAGAGAGATACATGTGCTGCAGTGTGATAGATCCCTATTGCCACTAAGGGGATTTTCTGCTAATTTCTTCTGAAAAAAAGGAAGCTCTAGGCAAAAGTAACACAGCATACAAGTGGGATATTGTGTTTCATATTAGAGCCGATAGTGTACAGGGATTTTCTGACATTGCTGGGAGTCAACCACACTCTGGCATGTTGACTGCACAGAACTTTTACAGAATCTTGTATCACATATCTTGCATGAATGCATCCCTTTTTCCCCAGTTCTTACAGCTGTGTTGTTTCATAACAGCTGCCTCCTATGAGTAGAAAATCATTCCATATCCCCGCACACATAGCCAAACAATAGCTAATGCAGCGCCAAATGTCAAAAAGAAAACGCATGGGTGTCAGCGGGAGCCTCAGCAGGATGAACTCACATCCTGAGAAGTTTTGGGAAAGCTGAGCTGTAACAGCATGCACAGGAATCGAAGTATCATCTTTGCCAGTGCAGTATGATCACAGATATGAAACTGTAAATAAACACACTCACTGTTTTAATCACACTCTTGATCTTGTTCTGACATATGGCATCGAAACTGAACACTTAATAGTTTTTCCCCATAACCCTCTTCTGTCTGACCATTTTCTAATAACTTTTGAATTTCCATTAATGGATTATACTCTATGTGGGAAACAATTCCACTACAGCAGATGTCTATCTGGCAATGCTGTTACCAAGTTTAAGGAAATAATTCCATCTTTATCTACTTCAGTGCCGTTTGCCAACACAGTGGAAGGAGGCCACCTTAACTTTACTCCCACACAAATCGATAATCTTGTTGATAGTACTGCAGCCTTCCTGCGTAATACACTTATACCATTGCCCCTCTGAAAAGGAAGGCAGTGAAACAGAGAAGGCTAGCCCCATGGTACAGCTCGCAGCTCCGCTCCCTAAAGCAGGCATCACGAAAAATGGAAAGGAGGTGGCGCTCCACTAAGTCAGAAGAGTTTTTCACAGCCTGGAAAGATAGTTTAATAACATATAAGAAAGCCCGTCATAGTGCCAGAACTGCATTTTATTCATCACTGATTGAGGAAAATAAGAACAACCCCAGGTTTCTTTTCAGCACTGTAGCCAGGCTGACAAAGAGCCACAGTGCTGTTGAGCTTAACATTCCCTTAGATCTCAGCAGCAATGACTTCATGAGCTTCTTTACAAATAAAATCACAACTATTAGAGAAAAAAATTGGTCGGACCACTCCCACAGCTCTCACAGATGTGCCATCTACTACAGTGGCTTTAGAAACATCTGTAAGACCTCATTTATACTTGGACTACTTCTCCCCTATAGATCTCTCTGAGTTGACCTCAACAATTGCTTCATCTAAATCATCAACATGTCTCCTGGACCCCATCCCGAAAAGGCTGCTCAAAGACGTCTTTGCCCTAATCAACACATCCATACTAGATCTGATTAACCTCTCTCTATTAACAAGTTATGTTCCACAGGCTTTTAAACTTGCAGTAATTAAACCTCTACTCAAAAAGCCTACTCTTGACCCAGGTGTCCTAGCTAATTATAGACCAATATCCAATCTCCCATTTATTTCCAAAATCCTTGAAAAAGCTGTTGCAAAGCAGTTATGTGACCACTTGCACAAGAATGATTTGTTTGAGGATTTTCAGTCAGGATTTAGAGTCCATCATAGTACAGAAACCGCATTGGTGAAAGTCACCAATGAAATGTCCACACAAGAAAGGTGTTCCATCAGGGGTTGGTTCGCACAAGTATATAAAGACAAACACACACGCACACACCACATGTCAGGAATCGGCGCGTTATGCTGCCAAAAATGTTGAGGGTGAACTCAATTAAAAGGCCAGACAAGGAAATGTAAAACAAAACCGTCTCTTTAATAAGAGAACTAACGCTAAACAAAACCATACAAGACACGGTGAAACACAAAAATCACAGGTCGGTATAAACAGTCCGAGATCAGAGCCAGCAAACACATACAGCAGAGGAATCCAAATACGTAGTCCAAAGGGAAGTCCGATAATTATACACAGTGACAGTCTGAAGCAAGAGGGCAAGGCAGAACAGAATAGTCAGAGGAACAAGCCGAGTCAAAAACACAAAGTACCAAAACCGAAAAATGCTGGAGAGTGAGAGGTGGCGTCTAGAACAATCTGGCTGGGATTGGTGGGTGAAGGCTGCTTATGATGCGGTGCAAACTATAATGAGCAGGTGAAACTAATGCGGGTGATGAAGAAAGTAAAAAGACCAAAACTGTGGTGAAACAAAACAGGACGTAGCATCAAAATAAAAGCCTGACAGGAAGCAACACGAGGTTTCTTCCGTTAAAGGGAGTTTTTCCTTCCCACTGTCGCCAAGTGCTTGTTCAAGGGGGATTTGTTGGGTTTTCCCTATGTAATAATATTGATAACAGTAAGGTCTAGACCTTACTTTGTAAAGTGTCCTGAGATGACTTTTGTTGTGATTTGGCGCTATACAAATAAAATTTGATTTGATTTGATTTGATTTGATTTGATATGTTAACAGGATGCACAAGAGCATCAAATATGATCTTATGTTCATTTGTGCTGTCAGAAATGGAACAGCTGTATGTTTACTGATGTTAACATGAGTCAGGTGAGATACTCATCTGTGTGTCAGACTGATTAGAGAGGCTCTTATAGACACAAGCATAATCTGGAAAAGATCTTTCTGCAATTTACACTGCAGGAGGAAGCAGTGAGATTAAAAACATTTGGTTGGATAGAATAAAATCAATCGTATTGGAAGTCTTTGTCATAACACTGAACACAAAATGCCTTTAAACAATGAAATATACAACAAGAGCAAAGCATTTGAGAATGATTCATATTATATGCACACCCTGTTACCTTGCTGAGTGGGTTGTGGGTGTAACGCTGACATGAAGTGCAATGGAATAAGCCCAAATAATAAACAACAGACAGAACCTGAGCTGTCAAGTCACAGCTTACAGCTGTTTTTATTCTACAGGCTCCATCACAATGTGTACCGTAGTTGTTTCAGCAGGTGAATAAAATGTGTTTCAGTTTATGGTAGAACAATAGTGTATAATACTGAGAATACTGTAAACCTTACTATGTAACGTGCCCTGAGATGATTGTTGTTGTGAATTGGCACTATACAAATAAAAATAAACTGACATGAAATTGAAACAGCAGCTGTTTGCCTTCATAAGGTACTGTTTTTATATTCTTTTTTTAATTGAGATAGATATACACTGTTTGGCTATTATGGTGCAAGGGGAACCCATCAATTTGATGTAATCATGTAGGATGTGATAGTACTCAGGTTGTTAGAGTAGTAGATTAGGTGTATAATGTCATCTGTGGTTCTATTGGGGGGGGGGGTGCCTCAAGGCATATCTGAGATATTGCATTCACAAGAATGGGGTAAACGGATGGACGAACAACTCAAAAACATAATACCTCCAGTCATGGCTGTTGTCACTGCAAAGGTATAAAAAAATATCCAGATAGTGTCACTAACCTTTGCTGCAGTGATTCTGACCATAACTGGTCTCTTTTGAGTATCCCAGCTATGAAAGTGCAATACCACAATATTATTGCAGTAGTCCTTTAAAGTGAGCCTACCTAACTTTAATAGTGGCCAAAAATAGCAATTAATGCTAAATGTAAAAACAACAGAACAAGTGAGTCAATAAACTCACTCAGCGGTGTCGGGTATAAAGCAAAATCTATCTGAAGATTGCTAACAAAAGCTGGCATTAGCTACCAGAAGCTAGTGGTCATACTAGACAAAGTAAGGCTGTAGCAGCTTGACTGTGAACTGTGTGACAGTGACTTTCATTGCTAACAAATTTTAACAAATAACGTTTCATTTTGTAAGAGGCCAACATGTTCCATAGTCTGGTTTTAAGCTAAAATCTGCACAACCAATCTGATTCTAAGCCTGTATGTTCTGATCTACTTTGAACCACTGGAAGCTAGAGAACACATCGGCTCATTCACTGGCTGTTGGTTTGCAAAGTGCATCGGATCAAAGCTCATACTGCCAAACTGACTGCACTGCTACAGGTAGAGCACCCTCATACTGGCTCTGGTCCCTGGTTTCATAGAACGCGTCAGGTGTTTTAGGGCGACGCATGATCAGCTATGCAAAGAAGCAAAAATCTAAAGTCAGCATATCACTGACGAAGCCTGCTTCTTGCCAGAGTCCACTCTCCTATGTCCTTCTCAACTACTGTTTGTGCAGCTGTCGTAGCAAACAGGAAACTATAGCACAGGTTCCCTCTCTTGCACCATATGTAGAGGATTAGTCTGTATACCTGCGACTCTCACTGAAACTTTTCAGCAGCTGTTTAGTCCTGGTTTATATCATGTCCAAAACACACAGGGATTATTAGTTTCAAAGGTGGCATAGGCAAACAGCACATAAGTCATCACATAAAAAATGTGGCCACCACTGGCTAAGTATCACACATATAGTAAAAAGGTGTACATTTCCAAGAGAGTGAAAATGAATAGTCTTTGCCAGTAGCAGAGTAAGTCTATTGTACACACAGTATAAGGTGCCTTTCAGATTCTGGCATGGCACGTCTTTGAAACAGCACTAAAGGCAATTTTTCATTCAACAGTGCTGAGAAATTAAAGCCAAAGGGCACAGAAAACTTTTCGCTACTGTCTACATGTCTCAGTTTTATGTAGAGGATCATTTACAGGTAATGCTTGTGGAATGCGTGCCTATAGGTCCTGCCAGAGGTCAAAAAAACAAAAAAGAATTAAAAGTGAAATGAAAACAGTTCCACAGCTGGACACTGTGAGGGATGAAAGGCTGGCTGCACACATCCACTCCTCTGGCCCTGCTGAAACCTCCACTTCTCCATCAGCATTTTCCTTGGAACTTTCTAAGCCAGAGTTAATTAGAAGTCAATTTAGGTTTGGTTCTACTGTCATTTTGGCTCCTAGTTTCTGGACTACATATAGCATGTACAGAATGAATAAATGTCACTGTGAAAAAGTGAAATTTGCTCAAGTTTGCTAATCTACAATCTGAGGTTTGTGCTCCAGTTATCTGATAGCTTTAGTTACTATGCAAAATATATTTTTTAAAAATCATTACGTATTATTATTGCTACCAAGCAGTGTGTAAAGTAATTAAAAGCAAGCCCATCTTTAACAGCTGCAATATTAGAGCGATGCTTACAATACTCTATTATATAACACAGTGAGTACTTTCACTGCAGGTACTTTGATGCTAACTTTTATATGCTACTTCTACGTTTACTGAAGTAAAAGGTTTGAATTCTTCTTACACCTCTAGAAAAATATTGCCAAGTAACTGCTAACATTGCTTGCATTGTTTCAAATCTGGAGGAAAATTATATGTTCATGTTCTTGCGGTGTCACATGTTGCCCACCACAGCTTACACATGAACCTCTGCTTGGGAGGGTGGATGAGATCAGAAACATTTTATACACATGCCAGTACAGCAAATGCACCAAATGAAATACAGAATTTGTCATATGTTTCTTCCTGGTATGCGGAGTATTTAGCATCTTATAAATTAAAGAGTCTGTGTTAAACAAGTGGTTCCGTTGTGGTTTTAATGCAGTGAAGCTAGTCAACCACCAAGCTGTCTGAGGTCAGGGAGATGCATCTTAGACCAGACTGGGCTTGCTTTGCTGAGGGCAGTTCTTAAAAGTATAGTATTTCAGCCTGTGATCTGCTTTGCTATGAGTAAAATCAGTGTGGAGAGCTGAGTATGACTCAACCAAGAGTCATAATATTAGCACAACTGTAAGTATCTTTAAGAAACAGCACCGGATGCTGACACTGGATTTCCTTCTAGGGTTAAGAAAAGTTCAGGTTATCAAATTTTTAAAAAAAGCCTTTAATGTTAGAATATCTGAAGTCAGGCTGCTCTGTCACATTATGGTCACAGTCTTTGTTATTGCACTGTAAACCATGAATACAAAGGGGATGCCTCTGACCAGCTGGTTTAAGTCAATTGCTCATCTTCATCCTATAACAACCGACAAAATGTGAAGGATCTGTCAGTAGTGTAGGTGATAAACACAGTGGGGAATTAGGGTTCTACTGCTCTAATAGCAGAGGAGTGTTGAATTATATCTACAGTGGCTGTCGCCCCCCCCCAACCCCCAACCCACACACACTTGGTCAAGGCAATGTAGCGGTGCTCCACACAATAGCCACATAAACATGTCAATTATACAAGCATGTAAACAAACAATGAGAATGTTGCACACATATTACATAAATGATACCCCTACCACTCAGTAGCCTTCATCCACTTGTCCACTTAGAAACCCCAAGTGAATACAGTGTCCGTTTAAACACTAAACTATATATAAACACAGACAGACTCACTTTAGTCACACATATACACAGGCATGCACACACATAAATTTCTATTTAGACACCGGCTGTTATGGATTGAGCAGCGTGACAGCCTTACATACCTCACTTTGTGGTCCTCTCCTGTCTCTTTCTCTCTGGTCTCTCGTTGTCTCTATCACACACACAGAGAACAGTGTGTTTGAATCTGACATTTCTTTCAGCTCACTTCCCTCCCCTCTCGCTCTCTCTCATTTCTCAGGCACACGCTCAAAAACAGCCCTCCCTCCTCTCTTTCTTCCCTCTCCTGCCAAATATGCCAAATATCCTCCCCTCTCACCGTCTCTCACTGCCACCAGAGCTGCCTCTCTCCTCCCCTTCCCTCCCTCTTTGCCTTGTGAAGCAGTGTGAAAGCCACAACCCAGGCCACGCCTCCCCCGCTCTCCTCTCCTGGGTGGCTATAAATACCGCTGCTGCTATGAATACACTGTCTTTCTCCCTCAGCATCCCTCAATCCCACTCTCTCTCTCCCTCCATCATCCATCTCTCGCCTGCACTGCCCTCCCTTCCTCCTCCATCCCTCCATTTCTTTCTCTTTCCAAATGTTTTTTCTGACGACCTTGTATTAGTTGCCTTTACACCGTCACATCACAGCATCCTTCCTTTTCACACTCTTGTGCAAGATGCAATCGTTTCCACGAACATACAAAGGCCCACAGGCATGCATAAACACAACCACAGACAACAGGGTTTCATAGTACCTGTCTCCTGTGCTTCCTGTCTGTTGCTCCGGATGTGGTGCATTTTTCCTCCTGACAGCTGAGAAAGACACGCTCTGATCATGATACTGACAACAGATCTCGTTGGACTTTACACGTTTATTGCACCAGCATCATTTTTTTTTTATTAACACATGGCCAAAGATGAATCAGTCTGTATGCAGTTAAGGCTAATGGATGCACCTTCCATTATATAAGATGCAATAATCTCCATTAAGTGTATTGTATTATAAAGCTGAATAAAAGATGGGATTTTTCAAACACTAAGGTTGATTTGTCATACTGAATACAATGGAGTAAACCTGCTGCATGATTAATGAAACAAAGAGAAAGTGTTTTCTCTCACCCTGTTGTTCTTCGCTGTCCACATACAAATCAGTCAGCATGTCAAGTTCACTACTAAAGAGAACGATTCACATTGTACATTAGGCAGCATCATGTCTTTGCTCTTTCTCACTGCCAGTAATATTGTCTGGGAATGAGGTTACGAACATCTGGTGCAAGCGCATTATGTGCACCGAGGGTACACTTAAACTGAATCAAATCTTCGCCTGCAGGCTATATAGAATGTCATGGATGTATGTAATCTGTGGACTGCATCAGCAATGCTGCGCTATAACATTGTAAATGAAGCCATCAAAAATGTGAACAGCACAAAGACAGAGGAAGAATTCTACCTGGTATTTTTCTGCTGATCATGCCCCTTTGATCCTGGTACACAATGCCACAAGTCACCCATGAATGACCATATTAGGTAGTACAGCTCTGTGTGATGTCTTGTAGGTTTCTGTTCACTTTTTGCGTTTTCCTCTTTGCCTGTTATTTTGAATGCACTGCAAGATGCTAACTAGATACCTGTCAAAATTCCTAGGACTGTTAAAATGTCATCTTAATTATAAAATTAAGATAGTGCTATAATAACAATTGTGTTCAAATCATATTATCAGTTTTTCCCTTTGAAATCATGCTGATTATTAAAAAGCAGTAAAGTAACAGAGAAGGCTTGAAAACGACGGACAGTGTGAGAGATTTTATTTCCATTAATGGCAAAGCAGTTGATAATGTTTCCCCCTGAACTGTTTGGTGTAAGATATACAATTATGAGTCACCAGCTCAGAGTCGGCGTGACAGTGTGCATGAGTGAAGAACTGTGCTGCTGAATTTATGTGCACACTTAGGAGGATGTGCTCATGCACGTCCAGGTGTGTTTCAAAACAGTTTCGTCTTCGGCTTTATCAGTGTGGTGACAGCTCGCAGGTCCTCTCCGGTGTGTGTGTGTATCTTCATAGAGTGTGTGAGGGCTTTGTGTAGCTCCTCGGGGGCAACCAGGTTGAACCGCAGCAGAGTGTTGACCAGCTGGGAGCGTGCGTTGCCAATGAATGAGTGCGACAGGAAAGAAGAGAGACCTCCCCCGCCTTTTGTGGTGTAGAGTGGGACTCTGACCATTCCCAGCACCTGGAAATGGAACGACAGGGAAAACAGGTGATGAGGATCAGAGTGTGAGATCAGGTAAATGGCTGCAATCGGTCAGCCTAGAAGGAAAAGGACAAGCACAAACACACACACATTACCTCATGGCCATGATCTGTTGCAGTGGTTGCAGCCGCTCTCTCCACCTCTCGTATCTGCTCTTCCTCAATCTTTTTCACATAGAAGTGAGTGATAAAACGAGACGAGGAGGAGGAGGAAGGGGACGAAGCAGGGGCATGGCAAGAATCTACATGATCTTCTACTGATATCTGAAGAGCCACACCTAGCTCCTCTGATAACTCTCTGCTCAGGCCAGTCTCCAGCGTCTCCTTCAATGGATTAACAAATCTGAAGTATGAGAGATGGGGGGGTCAAAGGTCACAGTCAATAGATAAACAATCCCAGCTGTATTGCTCTCCGGAGGCTCCTCAGTGAATATGTAAATAGATAAAGCTGACTGACAAGCTCATTCAATTTTAAAGCCCAAAAGTGCCTTTCTGAGCCACTCCTGAAATCAGTGGATCTTGGCCTTAGAGGCAAGTGAAAATGATCACATCCTAGGCACAAAAGAACTGAAACTAGCCAATGACGTCTTCATTTCAGAGGATGTGTAAGAAATGAAAACATTTCTGTCCAATTCTTTTCTGAATCTTTCATTTCTGATTGAGAAAAATTTTCATAGTGTTGAACAAAATGTCATTAGTCAATGTTGTGCTGTTTCCCAGGTCCATACTGCATAATTGTTCTAAGCAGGTTTTGAGTGTGCTCACTCAACATGTACTCAGAGAGTACACAGCCATGCTAGCAACGCTGAGATTGTACTTTGGCACAACCTATCTTTAAGCTAAATGCTAAAGTGCATGTGCTAACATGCTAATTTTGACAAGACACAAATATTTGTTTCACAATTGGATCCCCTTTGGTCCATAGAAGAAGAAGGTGTAAGAGAAGAGACTATAGTTATAGTGGCGGCTGTACGAGGCTGTACTGAGGCACAGCAGGGCTTTGAGGTAAAGGCTAACATCAGTATTGTGACAATGCTATGGCTAATGAGAAATGTATTTTGTTGTTGAGATACATTATTTCACATGAAACCACAAATGTCAACCTTCTTGTTGCATTAGAGAAATATTCAGAGGATCACCAGGGTCAGCACCATTCATCTTTTGGGGACCACAAATGTCTTTACAAACATTCATGAACATTTCTCCAGTAACTGTTAACTATGTTTCAGTCTGAACCATAGTGGTGGATGGGCTGACACTGCCATCTGTAGAGCTACGCCGCATGGCTAAAAAGTCAGTATGCACATTGAAAATGCTTGACTTTTGAGTGTACTACTCACAGCTGGATAAAACATTTTGAAGGTTAGTAAAGGAGCTGTGTGAACACCTCATAAAACAAAAAATAACAAATCTTAAACAGTTTGCTGCTTACTTGTGAATTTTTTTTTATGCTACCTACAAAAATTATATTAAGACAATAATACAATACAGAGAACATACTGGTATGTAGTATGGTTCTGGGACACTGATGCTTCTGACCATTGTTCCAATTTGCTTATGCAGTTTCCTTTGATTTATATTTGTCATCATGATTATTCAGATTTTTCTTTTCTTGCCTTGTTACATAATTTCACTGTGTTGGCGAATGATGCCACAGAAATTCTGGCAGCGACTACTGTAAATCACAGATACAAAGGCACAAGTGATTCATATTAAGTTGAATGCTAATTAAGCACTATGTGTCTGACAGTTACAGCTTTTAAATGGTGTTTAACACAAAAGAACCTGTCATGCATATTTCCTTATCTGTTCATCCTTGTGATATGAGTATTCTGGTCACATTTTGTGAACGTGTAAAGGCTTCTATCTGTTGACAGGAGTCTGTGAAGAAAAAGTGAGACTCACAAATGACCTGTGTGAACCAAACATACCTGTGCACATTAAAGGATAAAGCAGCACCAGGAAAGACTCACCCGCCAGGGAAACCCAATAGACCGTCAAAGCGCATCTGCATCTGTGGGAAGTGACAGAGGACATTATACTCTCACACACTGATGCATTGATACACAAACACAACCAGACATGTACACACACAGAGGGTGTTTTATTGCAAAAAGGCCGAAATGTTAAAAACATAAGTGCATATTTAAACCCATTCACATTCATACACTAGATACTGTGTAAGACACATGCACACGCATAACCTCAAGCATACACATAGTACTCTTCCTCACTAGTATTATGTGTCTGATGGGAATTCTCCCAAACAGCTGAATTTTCGTGTCAGAGAAGAGCATCACGTGACATGCATGCCTGCAGCCTGGACTTGCCAACGCCTCGGCTCTCGACAGCTGTCCGCTTGCCATCTACAAGTATACACACAAACCAAGTTACACAATCACAGTTGAGTGATTTCTGATCAGTCTGGACGGCTGCCCTCCTGACGTGCTAACAATGTGACATCATTTTATTTCTCTTCCTTCCTCATACATTCATATAACTGACTCTTCAGTGAAACCTACTGAATAACTTGAAGGCCTGTGGGCTTGTTTGCAGAAAAAAATCCCAGAAGACTTTGCAGAACCAGGAAGCTTAAAAGGAGAGCTATGTGACTTATCAAAGCACTTTAGCTCCCTCTGTTGGTGTGGAGTTGGCTGACAGCTGGGGGAAATCCCTGCCCTTGACTGAACTTTTCATTGTCAGTAGCTCATTGCATACTACTGCTAGGATAACAACTGTCCTCATGCTGCATGTTTTCCCCATAGTGTTGTCAGATTTTAGTAAAGTTAAATTCATTTTAATAATTGTTGTTTTCCTACTTTATTCATTTACTGATTATGTTTTATTTAGCCTTTAACCCTAGGGATATTTCCATTATTGTCTGTTTTGCAAAATAAAATGTAAAGCAGCAAATATTATTTGATTACACATACAGAGACATCATATTTCACTGAAAAAAAAAGCTCTGATAGTGATACTTGTGTGTCCTTTGATTTTGTTTTTAATTCTAGGATATAAAACTGATATGGAACAATTTACTGTTATAACACCCCCAAAATAGGTTTGTTTGTGCATGTCCATAGTGTATATACTAAATGGTGATATGGAAATTTTCAAATAATAAAGTCAAGAACACAAGATCTTTCATTGTTTAATCATGAACTTTCACCAAAGGGATCAGTGCATACAGAAAGCAAAAGGTCTTCACAGGCAAAGAGCAAAGACCGAACACTAGCTATTTACAATTCTGCTGCCAAGTAGGCAGAAATAGTCGAAACATGCAAACATAACATCCTTCACACAGTGTACTATTGGATACCTTGCGTTAATATAACAATATTTCAGTTTTCCAGTATATAGACAAAAACACCTGAGTGGGGCAACTTCCCCACTGAATCGACGTGTTCTTCTCCTTTGGTGAAAAACATTACTGCTAATACATGCTATGGTGAAGGCAAACAGAACAAACATAAACCACTCACATTACCTGCCACAGAAATGCCTCATTGCAGGTAACGTGATTTCACTAAGCGCTGTCTCATCCTTCTGTCAACATGATAAAGCTCACTCACCATGATCATTACTGCTCTGCTGGGCCGGACTTAATAATTTTTTGATGACGTTTGGAACACTGATTGGCTGAACAAAGCAGGTTTTTCTGTCCAGCTAATAGTAGGTCTCAACTATGATCTTAAACGACCAATCAGCATTGCGTCCTCCGGAACAGGGGGATGTGTTGACATTTCAGCAGTGTGTCTTTGAATGGTTACCGACACCGGAAAGTAGTGGACGTAAACCAGTAAAAGTATTTGGGGACCGCAGACTTATGTATTTTGTCTGTGAAGGTTTTTTTCCAGCGGGAGACAAAACATTGAAGCCGTGTAGCGTGGAGGTAAACATCCAATTAGCTTCTACCACCATTCAGTGAGTGTTAGCTGGCGGTGTTGAGCGTGTGTAACGTTACCTGATCAAACTCAGCTAGATGACTTTATACCCTACAAGTGTAGGGTATAACACAAGAGGCATCTTTCTGATCGGTTTAATGTTATCTTGTCAACATATGAATGTTTTGTTGTGTTTAATCTTGTTTTGTTATTATGTATTACATTGTTGTGTATGCATCTCTATCTATTTTCGTGTAAAGCATCTTGGTAAACCCCTATGCTGATTAGTTGCTACAGGCTGGACGACATCAATCAGTCGATTTGTAAGCGTGATTTAGATCTCTGTGTCATCCGGGTTTCAGGTGACAATGATTGTCACGTTTTGCATTAGCAGAGAGATGCCTTGTATCAAAACAAGCCTTTCCTCGCTAAGATGCGTTCGGCTCTATTGTTGTTCCACACTCCAGCCCAGCAGATGGCGGTAATGCACCTTAGGTTGGCTTGCAAACCGCCAATAAACACAATTCAAAAGGGAAGAATAAATGCAGCGCTAAACCTGAAGAAATGCAATTCATAACATGAAGAAGAAATGCAGTTCATAACACGAAAAAGAAGCAATGCAGTGCATAAGGTGAAGAAGAAGAAATGCAGTGCACAATGTGAAGAAGAAGAAGAAGAAATGCAGTACATCAGGTGACAAGCTATAGGAGGAGGAGGAGAATGATTAAAAAAAACGAATCCAACATGTTGGGCATTGTGAAAGAAATTCTGTGCCCCCTGCAGATATTTTTCAAACGTTGCGCTGCCTGCCCCCTACACCTAGTGCCGATTAGCAATTGAGGCTGAAATGAAGCGTGTTTCGTGGTTATTGGTTAACACAAGCTTAGTGAGGCATCTCACTGCTAGTACAAATACAGTAGAATTATTGTCACGGGATACTAGATCGCAAGGGATGTAAGTCATGCTCACAAAACGATTTATCTTGCAGCGCTAATTAGGGGTTTAAGAGAATATCTATACACTTGAGTATTGCAATATTATGTTTTGCCATACTGTATCGAATGCTAAAAACACAGTATCAAATTTTACTTAATAGTTCACATGCCAAGTAGTGCTATGTTGTTGGATGTTACAGTGACTGTAACAAATGCAAATGCAGATTCCTGTTCTGATTGCATACAAAAGTAAACTTTCTTACAGGAGATTTTATACATATGATACTGTGTTGCTTATTTTATTACAGTTTTTCTAAAATTAGGTTTAAAAAACTGCAATGTATTGCCTTGATTACTGTATTGCATTATATTGAATCATAACCCCTGCATCGTGATACATATTGTATCACCAGATTCTTAACCAATACACAGCCCTAATCCTAATTAATATTATGTTAAGAACAATAATAATGGTACAAGGAATAATAAGTTTTGGAATTACTTTTAGGATATTTTATCATTAGAATTATTTGCACCAGCCTAGTTGTAGTAATGCCCCTTTGCTGAGTGTGCAGAATAATTTATTAACATATTATGTAAAACAAAACAGAAAGGTCACCTCTAAATATTGAATTGGAACCTGCTTATCATTCCCATTGACTTTTTACATAAATTATGAAGGCACATGAATTAATGGAACTAAAGATCCTCTTGTTTCTATTTTGGCAGCAAGGTGTTACCCAGTTTAGTATTGGACTTCTGTACTGTTTTACCATAGATATTTACTGTTATTCATATCTCAGGTGAGTCATAATGGCCCAGTGGATACCAGATGAGGTCCTGATGAATACTGCACTGATTAAAGACTTGGCGGATGTGGCAAAAGATGCAGCGCTTCTGCAGGGTGTCCTAATGAGAATCCATGAGGCCTCAAACTCCTCTGAGGTGAGAAGTGTCTGACATGGACAAACCTCCTGCCAGTTCAGCAACCTTGTTTTTAGGGCTGCTTGATGGCAGAAATTAGAATCACGGGGGAAAGAACACGTCAATTCAGTGTGTAAAATCTTTTGTACAGGCCTGTTGTCTCTTAACCAGATTCCTGGCTTATCTGGTCCATGTGTCAGTGTCCTTGAGCAAGACACTGAACCCCCAGTTGTTCCTAGTGCAGTGACACTGGTGCGTGAATGTGTGAGTGCTTGGCAGTACAAATGGGTGAATGACCAAGTAGTGTAAGAGCATTTTGAGTGTGCTGCAGTGCATAGATAAAGCCCTATACAAGTATAAGACAAGATGAAATTACTTAGTTACAATAAAATGCTATTACTTCATGTTACTCTCTGTCGTAACCCAAAGAATCAGAATCAGAATCAGCTTTATTGGCCAGGTGTGTCAGACTCACGAGGAATTTGACTCTGGTACATCGGCTCTCACGGTGTATATACATATCCCCATGCAAGGGGCAAGTAAACAGTAAAACAACATAAGGCTGAGTAATATAACAAACTAAGCAGTATTAAAAAGTAACAAACAGTCCAAACCATACAAAATAAGCAGTATCAACAGGCAGTAAACAACGCCGACAGGCAAGGAATGCTCATTGTGAAACGAGATAAATAGGAATAAAAGCGGTGCCTGTTTTCATTCTCATATGCTGTGACCAGCACTGGTGTTTTTAATGAATAGTTTCTTGATGTCAGCATTTTACCACTTGTTTTTCAGCTGGTGACTTACGCTCCATTCACACTCTTCCCCATGGAAGTACCAAAGGCTGTGTTTAACTGGCCAGTTGCTTAATCAACTGGCCAGTTAAACCGTTGCTGCTAAAACAGACGGGTTCATTGTGAAGTCATGTTACTGTAGGACTAGGATTTGCATTAGCTGCACAGGATGTTTGCATTTGCAGGGCTGTGCCTGTTTTCATTCTCCCATGCTGTGACCAGCACTGGTGTTATGAATGAATAGTTTCTTGATGTCAGCATTTTACCACTTGTTTTTCAGCTGGTGACTTACGCTCCATTCACACTCTTCCCCACGGCAGTACCAAAGGCTGTGTTCCAACAGGCTCTGGCAGTGCAGATTCACTACAACACGCTGGTGGACAAGATCAGCCAGGATCCAGACTTTCTAAAAGAGGCTCTAGCTAGGTAGTATAAAGCCATTTTCACACATGAACAACAGGCAGAGTCCACAGAATCAGGTCAGCAGATTGTCCAGAGTTGCCCTTTCACACATGTACAGTAGCACACAACAGGAGTTGGTGCATGTCAGACAGATTCTTGTCTACTGAAAATATTCCATTTGATTAATGCAAGTGGGGCCCTGGGTAGAGCATGCAGGAGGTGGAACATGACACGGTTTATAATTGAATTGTCTAATGATTTGAGTGCCGCCTCTCGACAACAGAAGTCCCTGAATCTAGTCGTGTCTACAGTTTGTTTTCGTTGTCATCTTCACTGTAGTTGTGCGTTTAACTTTACCATCAGATCTTTGTATTCTTATGGTTTCACAGCAATCACATGGTAGAACATCATCAACACGCCCAGTAGCTCGACATGAAAACCTTGCACTACACACTGCTGTATTCTCACATGGGCTCACTCCAGCTCATGCAGGCATTACGCAATTGTTACGCAGACTTTGTACTGGGGAGCTGGCAGAATAAAGTCCATTTAAGGTTCAGGCCAACTGACTTGGACATTTTGCATTCTAACATACAGCTCCTCCAGGTAATGTCCAGATAATTTCAGGATGTCTGTGCATGTCTGCAAAGGGCCTAGCTGCCTCTTGTAATGAATGCCTCCTCAATAGTGTGGAAATGAATTTGTTAGTCTATGCTGTGTAGTTTCTTTTAGCATCATAGCATACAAGACAAAACTTCTCCAAAAGATCACATTATTGTTGCATTCTCAAAATGGGACTGTTATCGTATAACTTCTATTATTACAAATCAAAAATAATGTGATGTTGTAAATGGGTTGTTGTCAGAGCTCTAACTGAGTGACCTTCTTTGTTTGTAGCACCATTGCAGTGGATGATTTCACTGCGAGGTTGTTCAGGATCCACCAACAGATCCTGGAAGAAGGAAGGTCTCAGGTATGGAAGCTTGCCTCTGTCAGTCTATAGTAATGCCAGTTACTAAGCATTATTATGCTGCTTGTAACACAAAACGACAAATATGATTTGAATTATTAGAATCCTAGAATAAAGGCTATGTGATGTCTGTCTTTTTTCAGTTTTACAGTCCGGTCAAGCGCTGAAAGTCTTGATATGCATGACTGTGCAAAGCTATAACATTTTAGGGTTAAAGTGCATCAGTGTAGTAGAACAAATACAAGCAAGAGTGGACACAGCATAGAAAATAATGGAGACACACCGTGTACAGGAGAATAAGATTAGTGGTGAAGAGATGGACAGTCTTCTGACAAAGAGAAACAATGGAAGGTCCAGGCATTACATTTGAATTTACATCAGTAATTGTATTGACATTTTATTCTATGTTATAAAGAGATATTTCATCCTAATGAAATTTTAATCCAGTTTATTGAGAGTTTGGAATCTTTCTCACTATATAATGTCTGTTGACTAGTTCATTAAAAGACAAATTGTTTTAGCTGTGCACAATACCATGGACCAGATGGCTCAAGTTCTGACTTACAAGGCTGCACAGAGCAGACTGTTCATGTGCCTTTTAATGGTCTAAGTGGTTCAAGTCATGTTTCTTTGCCTTCTGCTCAGTCTGTTGTGTTGGGTCTCAATCGGTCCGACTACATGCTGGACCAGAGAGAGGACGGGACGTCGTCTCTGAAGCAGATAGAGATCAACACCATCGCTGCCAGTTTTGGTGGTCTCTCATCGCGCACGCCAGATGTACACCGGTAAACCTATGATTAGCCTGTCACTCAAAGATGGTGTTGTTTATGATGGTTTAACTGTTTGTAACTTTCATGGAAAAACCTCTGGTCAACTAGAATTTTCATGAAAAATAGCTCATTTACTAGGACTCAACGTTAACAGTTACCCAGCTGCCTCAGGTTGTCAGATTTGGTCCAGTGTCAAGCATTTCATGCTGCTACTTCTCCTGTGTTTAAAGAAGAACAGAAGACAAAACCATAAATTGTCTCTCACCCACTGTGTAAAATCTTTTGTACAGGCCACAACATGATAATATATAATTTGGTATGATTTTGTTGTGCCAAACGTGGCTGTCCTCTGGCTCAACAGACAGATCCTGAGGCTGGCCGGACGGATGCAGGAGAGTCAGTGCATCCTAGACAACAACCCTGCGGCAGGTCTGGCTGTGGCGGTTGCAAAAGCCTGGGACCTTTATGGATCACAAGGGTGAATCTCTAAACTCTGACCACTGTGTTAAATGTGTTAAAATGACTCTATCTCTCACACAGGGTTTTCTGTATTAATGTAGCCCTACTCAAATGAACGCAGAGAAGTGTCCGTTATTATATTTTAATCTGAGTGTGCTGATCAGTACTGTTTAACAGTAGTGTTGAATGAGTTGTGGTTGTCATTACAGGGCAGTCGTCATGTTCCTGGTGGAAGGCGAACAAAGGAACATCTTGGATCAGCGATATGTTGAGAAAGAACTGTGGAAGAGGTGAGGTCAGCCAGTGTTGTCTTCCTGTCATTGTCATGTCTTGTAATGTCTGCTTTTGTATTCTTAGTCCTGTGAACCATTAGTCCATCTGGCTGCAGACTGAAGTGGGGCTGTATTGTATGTATGTAACCAGCACCCTGTGTTCACCACCTTTCAGAAACATTCCCACAATAAGAAGGCGCTTTGACGACGTTTATGAAACAGGACGCCTCGATCAGGACAAGAGGCTCTTTGTGTGAGTCTATTTCTGTCAGTTAAATGTACATTAATAAACTTTATAAAATGTGTTCCTCATACATTATAGCATGGCAGTAAGAGGTGATTATGGTCAGTTGTACTTACATGATGTTACTTTCTTTTCAGTGGTGGCCAAGAGGTTGCAGTGGTGTACTTCAGGGACGGCTATATGCCACAGAACTATGCTTCTGAACAGGTCTTAACATATTTCTTAACCCTAATCATTGTAATATTAGCTGCTCAGTGAGAAATGCAGTCAAGCTGGAAAGTTGTACTTTATGCAGACATCCCCATTTTATTTGGGGATGAAACAGTTAAAGCCAGTCCACATAGAAAGGACTTTTTAGAAGTGTTTCTGTCATCCATCACTCACCAGTCTCACTGAACCACTAAGTTTCCATTTTTACCACTAATGATGAGTGAGACCTAGGTTTGAGTTTTTTCCCTCACAGTATCGGGGGGAATAAAATCAATAAATCGTTAAATAAAAACACGCAAATGAATTACTGGGGAACCTACATAAAACAGCTTTTTGTCTAGTAAATTGCTTCAGTCAGTCAGTCTGTTGAAGACGGTTTATGTGGCAGCTGCTAACAGGCAGCTGGTTCTAATAACAGAGACAGCTGAACGGTTGGTTTGTGCCTCAGTAGCGCTTCCATTCCACTCACCTTTTTTTAATGTAGATTCCCAGTTAGTTCCATTTTATAGGACATGCACCTTTGCTTCCACCTTCTAACAAAATAATAAATTCTCTTTCATTAGCATACAGCCTAACAATGCATGTTTATGTAAGCAGGTTGATTAATGCCAAGCTATTCAGTCATCAGACATATCTTTTCAAACTTGTTGGTTTTATCATATTGAATGCAATGAAGTGTATAGAACTAGATCAATCAGGATACATAAATCATGTTGTATCCTGTCGAACTGTGTGATGATATAAAGTATAGAGACAAGTCCGGGTCCAGAATCAGACTTGTGTTTTTTGAACTGTAGGCCTGGGATGCTCGTCTTCTGATGGAGCGCTCCCTGGCTGTGAAGTGTCCAGATATCGGTACCCACCTGGCCGGAACCAAGAAAGTCCAGCAGGTACTTACAAGACCTGGAGTTCTGGAGAAGTTCTTCCCCGAGCAGCCTGAAGCAGTGGAGCAGATCAGAGCAACGTTCGCTGGCCTCTACAATCTAGACATGGTGGGAACCTGATGTATACATAGGGTACATGTCATGTCTCTTATAAGGACTGTTGTTTCCCTCACTTGCCTCTTTTCCTTGTGTCTCAGTCCTGCCGTTGTAAGACACAAAGAAAAGATAAGAGGGAAACGTGAGGAGAGAAGACTTGAGGAAACACGTTATTAATGACATGAGACGTCCTTCATTTGAAGTGTCCAATCACCAACTGATTTCTGATAGATCAAAAAAACTTGCAACAAGGATGGTCTAGTGTATCCTTGGTCATGGCTCCTCCACCACTGTCCTTGGTCCTCAGGGCCAATGTGAGACTTGAAACATACTATGTCCTTGGTCAAACGGAATGACTTTTGGTTCACCTGAGGATGTAGGAATGATCTTATAACAGACAGGAGATGTACCTATAGTCACTGCAAGGTCTTATTGTGGAGTTGTATATAAGCCACACATAACTACATGGATTAAGATTAGGTTAAAGGGGTGGAGCACAGAAGTACATTTTTCATTTCAGGAGATAGAATGGCTTCATTTAGTCACATGACTGTCCCAGCGGGACACCACCTGGTGATGGTCCTGTTAATCTACCTTGCGTTCTTGTTTTCACACTCAGAAGTGTCTAGAAAATATTAAAGTAAAATCACTGCATTGTAAAACTCCATGTTAACATGAACTTTTTTCTTTATTTATTTTTGTTGTTGCTGTCTTCAGGGCCCAGAGGGTGACAAAACAGTAGCAATGGCTTTGGCAGCACCAGATCGATTTGTCCTGAAGCCTCAGCGAGAAGGAGGAGGTACAAAGAGAGAAACATCTATATAAATTAATATATCATAGAACAGGGTCTGTGCAGGCTCCTCAAGTAAAAGGTAATATTAAAATTTAATACATCTAATTGGTGAAAATGAATAAAACGTTGTGGGAAGAACATGGAATGTCTGTAACTACGTGGCAGTATACTGTACACCACAGCTAGTGTTGTGAATACCACAAGTTGTATAGATGGCAAATGCACTGAAACCATTCTAGGAAGGTAGCAGGAGCATGAATTCTGATTTGTGGGGTGAATTCTGATGCCTGTATTCTGCAACCTGTAGAAAATAAGTAATTCCTAAGGGTTTCTGTATTTTCTTTCTTTCCACTATATTGGCAGCATTTCAGCAAGTTGGAACATATTTCAAGTCAAGGCACATTTTATTTACACAGCTCCAGTATCACGAATCACAAATTTGCCTCAAGGGCCTTTACAGTCTGTGTTGATGGTTTACCAACACTTCATGATGACACTATCTTTCTAGGTAACAACATTTATGGATCTGAGATCTGCCAGGTCCTGGAGGCAGTGAAGGGGAGCACAGAGAGGATGGCCTACATTCTGATGGATAAGATCCATCCCACCCCAGTGCAGAACTACCTGCTGAGACGAGATGCTCCCCTCAAAATCAGTAACTGTCTCAGTGAGCTGGGAGTGTTTGGAGCCTATGTCCGGTTTGTAATCACTAATTCATTAGTTTAAAATGTCTTGTCTGTGTGGATTTGTGACAGATTGGGAGATTTTAATAAGCATCTTATTGCTTTCAGGGCTGGTTGGTTAATTTCAGCTTCAAGTGCTGCTCAGTATCTCAGAGCTGTGCTCTGAGCAGATATCACAGGAACAGAAAATTTCATCTTTATGTCAACGAATGTTTGTTTGGATTTTAGTCTAGGTATAGTACTTGTTGATATAGACTTTATTCCCAGAGCCAGCATACCAGGGAAAACGTGTCTATGGTTCGACCTGGCTGTGAGATTAGGAGACACTCTTGGATGCTCTACAGAAAAACCGGAGGATATATTAACTATGAAGGCATTTTATCTTGTTAACCTTGAGCTACAGTGATGTTCATATCAGAGTCAAAATCAGTTTATTGGCAAGGTGTGTTGGACACACGAGGAATTTGACTGCTACAAAATAGCGGTATTAACATCAACAGACAGTGCAAACAATGCAGAAAAAGTAGTATAAACAGTAAACAATGCAGACAACAAAGGAATGTTCATTGAAATGAGATAATTAGGGATAAAGATAGAGCACTTAAAACAGGGTACTAGAGACCTGTACGAGTCTATAAAATCTGTACAGTGTATATATACACAGGTATTGCACTGAGGGTTATTGTCTAATACTGTCGTGGGTTAAGTGTTCATCAGAGTGATGGCCTGGGGGAAGAAACTGTCCGTGTGCCTGGTTGTCTTAGTGCACAGTGACCTGTAATGCCGTCCGGAGGGGAGGACGGCCTTTCCGTCCTCCTTTTGACCTGTGAGGTGTACAGGTCCTCCATGGAGGGCAGGCTCGGACACATAAGGAATTTGACTCAGGTACATCAACTCTCAATGTGCAAACAGTAAACCAGCATAAGGCTGTGTGAAAGATTCTTTCGGCTTTTCCCGTTTAGGGGTCACCACAGCGAATCGTCACACTGACGACTTGCATGTTTACATTTGGCACACGTTTTACGCCAAATGCCCTTCCTGACACAACCCTGATTCAAACCCGGGCCGCAGTGGCGAGAGCGCTGCACCTTAACCACTAGCCTACCAGGGACAGCAGAGGGGAGAGTACACATCCCTGGGGAGCACCTGTAGTGGGGTAAGGTGGTTTTGGATGTGGTTTTCCACAGCCTCACCTGCTGCTCCCTGTCTGTCAGAAAGCTAGTAATACACTGACAGGTGGGGGCAGGCACAGTGAGCTGGGTCAGTTTGGAGTGGAGGATGTCCAGGATGATGGTGTTGAAGGCTGAGCTGAAGTCCACAAAGAGGGCCCATGTGTACATCCCTGGGGAGTCGAGGTGTTGCAGGATGTAATGCAGTG